TTCACTTAATGTTCAACTTGTGAAAATGATTATACACAAAAATAAGAAAATGTTAATGCTAAGGACATACAGTGACAGCTTATATGTTGAGAAAAAGGTGATCATAGCTCGTTTACATTTGTGAGTCAGTGAGTTTGTGTGTATATGTGTGTGTGTGTGTGTGTGTGTGTGCGCGCGCGCGTGCATGTACACACGTGTTATTTGCTGCCCTCTACTGGAGAGCAAAGGAGGAATTTCAGCTCTATTTGAATTATAAACATCTATATGATAGAAATTAAGTCAAGTGCTGAGCATGAGGGACAAAATTCAATAACCCAAGATTACAAGCCCCAAGGGTCCTTTGTCTTGCTTTTCTGCTAAATCATTCTTTATATTCTAGATTGGGATTTTTTTTAAATATTTGTTTTTAGGGAGTTTTGTTTTGTTTTGTTTTTTTCTCTAAGGCACATGTGTTTGCCAGAGAGACAGAAAGTAAGAAATCCCCCTTGTCCCCAGGAAGGATGAGCATGCCACATTCTCTTCTCCATTCTCCTTTAAGGATTTTGGGCATGCATGCACATGCATGGTGTGAGTTTTAGGCTGCTGGGTTTGGGACTTGAACTGCAGTTGGCTATGTGGGAATCCAGTGCCTTAACCACTACACCACCTGCTGACTTCTTTTTTATTTATTTTTAAATTTTTGCCATAGAGTGGAGGCACATGCCAGAGAGAGGGAGAGAGAGAGGGAAAGTAAGAAATCACATGCCCCCAACTCCCACCCCTGGGAAGACGGCCATGCCACAATCCCTTCTACATTCTCCTCTCAGGCTTTTAGGCACATGCTGGCTTGATTTTTCAAGTCACCAGGTCCAGGACTCAAACAGCAATCAGCCATGTAGGAGTCCAGCATCTTTACTGCCATGCCACTTGCTGATGCCTACCCTTAAGAAAGACTTTCATTCTGAATGATAAATAATAATTTAATTTAGTATCAATTACAAAAATATGAAAAAAATTTTTTTAATGTACCACACTCTGCATTTGCAATTCTGACCTTTCTATGTAGTTCTGGAAAACTATAAGACTATTTCACAGATTAATTTCATGGATTAATTTTTAAACAAAAAATTAAGTATTTAATCTTAATACTATGAGATAAACACTTTTTTTTGGGGGGGGGCGAGGGTTTTGATCTAGCGTGCACTTGCCAGAGACAGAGAGGCAGAAAGCGAGAAATCTCCCTCCGGGGGGATGGCCACACCGCAATCCCTTCTCCTCTGCTCTCCTCTTGGGATCTTGGGCACACATGCACACGCGCCCAACATGAGTTTTAAGCCACCTGGTCCAGGACGCGAACCGCAGTCAACTACATAGGAGTTCAGCAACATAGCCATTATGCAAACTACTGGTCCCAACACTTTTTTTTTTTTTTTAGACATTTTTGCCCTAGGGCAAATGTCCTTACCAGGGAGAAAGAGACAGAGACAGTAAGAGGAAAAGTGAGAAATTGCCCCCTAGGAGAGATGACCACATTAGAACCCCTTCTTGTCCATTCTCCGCCTGGGGTCTTGGGTGCGCGCGTGCACACACTCACCTGATATGATTTTCAAATCACCACGTCTGGGACTCAATCCATGCCATATGGGAGTCCAGCAACATAACTGCTATGCCATCTGCTGGCCACCAGAGGTAACCACTATTTTTTAAAGTTTATTTTCTTGAGAGAGAAACTGGTGCCCTCAACAGGGTCTGGTAATTCCACGATATACCCCTGCCCCACCCTCATGATCATAGGAGCACACATGTACAGAGAATGTTGTAGGTTGACCCAGGATCCAAATTGTAGCCTTCCATGTGGAAGCATTGTGGAGTGGCACCATAGTGCCTGAACCTCTGTGCCTGGACCACTAAGAAATGTTAATATGCCCCATTTAACATATGAGGAAATTTAAACACAGGGACCAGCAGATGGCATAGCAATTACATCACTGGACTCTCATGTGGCTGACCACGGTTTGAGTCCCTGACGCAGTGGCTTGAAAAATCATACTGGGCACCCTGTGCATACATGCCCAAGATCCTGGGAGGAGAATGGAGAAAAAGGGATTGTGGCATGGCTGTCCTCCCGACCCCCCCCGGGGAGTGATTTCACTTTCCCTGTTCCTCTCACATATCTGTTCTCTCTCTGACAAGTGTATGGGCCCTAAGACAAAAAACTCAAAAAACAAAAACAAAAACAAAACACAAAGAGTTACGTAAAAATTTTGAAGACTCATGGCTGAAAACAAAGTTTGATTTAAACTCAGGCAATTTCATTATAGAAATCATGTAGCAACTATACTAAAAGGCCTTGCATGTAATATGCTGATTAACAGTTATGGTGCAAAAATGCACTCACAGGATAAAATCTTGTCATTTATTCATCCTTAAAAATGAATTATTATCGGTTAATCTCAAATTTGCCTAAGGAAAAATATGTTGGAGCATAACATATACCATGAAAAATTACAGAAATATTTCATCTTGAGATACAAAATTTAAAACAGAGATAATAAAAGTAGATTTGGTTTACATTCCATAGATTCTATGGTTCTTAGAATTCGCTATGATTTTACAAACCTTCCAGACTTTGCTCATTTTCATTATATTTACATGACCTGGTTAGGCTAATGCCTTCTAGCATTTCAAATCTCAGTTTGTAATCCTTGCCTTGGGGAAAATTTCCCTCCTATCACCTGCATTATTAGTCAGCTAGTTGTAGGTTACTGTTTGAGCATGGTGGCCCAGCCTGAACGTGTGCTGGAACCTGATACTCAATGGAGCAATGTCCACAGCAGGGCCTGGTAGGAGGTATTTGGAATATGAGGGTGGCTACCTCTTGAATATTAATTAATACCATCTCCAGGGAGGGAACAAGTTCTCATTAATTACTATAGTTCCTAAGAAAGTGGGCTGTTACAAGAACAAGACAGTTGTCCGCAGCTCTCTCTCTCTCTCTCTCTCTGTATGTGCCTGCTTTCCTTCCATTGTCTTTGGCCATGTTGTTAACTTAGCAGCAGATGCCGGCCCTGTGTTTTTAGACTTTCTAGCCACAGAATCATGAGCCACATAAACCTCTTTATAAATCACCTAGTCTCAGCTATTTCTATTATTGCAAGACAATGGACTAGGACAGACTGCCACAACAAAATAGAGACTAGGTGACTTAAACAATGGAAACCAAATTTTGCTACTTCTGAAAGCTGCAAGTTTGAAATTAGAGTGCTGACATGGTCAGGTTCTAGCGCAGACCCTTTCAGGTGTCAGAGAGCTGCCATGTCACTCTGTGCTCACATCACCTGTCCTTGATGTGTCCTCCTTGTGGGGTGGGGACTGTGAAGGGAAGGAGGGAGGGGAGAGGGAGCACAAGCACTTATGATCCTTTTAAAGCCACCAGTCCTATCGGATTAGGACTCTGCCCTCATGAGCTCTCATTCCACTGTAATTGAAAGACTTTTTCCCAAAAGTCCTGTCTCCAAATGTCCTCCCCGCTGGTGGTTAGGGCTTTAACATGTGAATTTGAGGAGAAAACAACACAGTTTGATTCTTTTATTTTATTTTATTTATTTATTTTGCCATAGAGACAGCCAGAGAGAGACATAGAGACAGAAAGCGAGAAATCACCCCCAGGGGGGATGGCCACGCTGCAATCCCTTCTTCTCCGTTCTCCTCTCGGGATCTTGGGCAGGCACGCACACGCACCAGGCGTGAGTTTTAAGCCACCAGGTCCAAGATTCGAACCGCAGTCGACCACATGGGAGTCCAGCAACATAGCCATTACTCCAACTGCTGGTCCCTCAAAAACAACACAGTCTATAACATCATTTCACACATTTCTATAGCACTTCTTAGAAGAACTGTAGTGCAATCACCTGTAGTTACCTGTGCTTCATTAGACACAAGTTCCCTCAGGCCAGATTCAACTCTTTTGCCATTGTTTCCCTGGTGTAGAGTGTCTGGGACTTAATGGCCACTTGGTAAATACTGGCTGAATGAATTAAGAACCCATAACTACCTAATCTGCTTCTTTACCAGGTCTTAGCAGCAAATGCCACAATTAGAGCAGGGCTGGTAGGATTGTGAGGCCTGAGCAGATATGTAAAGCTTTGCTGGAGATAGAACATCCGAACTAGCCTTATACTTATTCAGCTACTACATTTCAAGGACTTTAGTCTTTGATATCCTCATCAAAGTGGTAGCATTTGCACATAATAAAGTTAAATGTAAATCAACAGCCATGACTGGGCCAGAAACAGGTGATGTACCTGTTCAGGTGAGTACCACAACAACCCAATTTGCAAGTTTTTTAGATTAACCAATTATTTAAAAACAGGTCTTTGACTTCCATTGGTTCAACTAATGAGTTTTTTGCTTTAGGGTGCTGAGAAAACAAGCATTCAGTAGAAACTGAACTTTGAAATTTGATCTTTCCCTGAACTAGCATTACGGGCAGTAGCAGCAGAGCTCCCAGTCAGCCATGCACATGATCGTGAGGGTGAACAACTGATATTCTACTATGCAGTGTGTTGCCAATGCCTTTTGGATATTGTGTTTTACATTTTCCCATGCAATCATGTCTATAAAGTGTCCATGCTTTGCTCTAAGATAGACTATGTTACATGATGTTGCCCAATTGTAGCTAATGGAAGTATTCTGAGCATGTTAAAGGGGAGCTCAACTAAGCCATGATGTTCAGTAGTTTAGGTGTATTAAATGTATGTTCAATTCAAGCTATTTTCAACTTATGATGGGTTTACCAGGATATAAACACATTATAAGTCAAGAGATATCTGTATCTCCATTGACAAAATGGCCATATGATATGGATAATATTCTTGACAATCAATCTTCAGTAAAAATGAAGTATATAAGAAATAATAGAGTCAATTAGGCCTATACAAGACTTTATTGTACTCTGAATAACAAGCATGTGACAAAGTTTAGCATGACAAATACCTCAAATTCTGTTCCTTACAAAAACATTAAGTACAGTACACAAAAACTATTTGTAATATTTTAAGGTCTGCTAATAATATTAAGACATAACATAATAAGATTTATGGAGTTATCTTTCAACTAAAGCATTTATTCCCTTTAGCTTTTCTACAATGAAAATGAACATACAAATGTAATTACTGAAATGGAAAATTAAGGTATACAACAAACATTCCAATTGATCAACAGTATGAAATATAAAGTCTTGTCAGTACTTCTGAACTTGCATTTTCTTTTGACTATATTGTACAAAAAGACATTTTCAAAATGCTTTTAATGTTACATAATTTTAACCATTCCCAATATAATCATTACTTATTCTTAGCATAATCATTAATCTGATTGATCTTAGAGTTTAAAAACAAAACAAGAAATACATTAATCTTATTCAGAGGAGATATTCAAAACATTGAACAATGCACTGTCCACTGACCCTAGCCAATAAGCACAGACACTGGAATAAGCGATTAGAATGGCGATACCATCTATCCCAGCTGAATATCAGCCCTGATTTATTCCCAATGACTAGATGCATGTTTTGGCTAATGCACTGTACAAACATGAGCAATGAGATAGGAAACATGAAATTCACACAGACATTGAATTCAACTTGAATCTCTACTGCATGGAGGCTGAATGTGAAGTATTTCACAGTGACTAAAACTGACTGGCTAACAGGCAATGATGATTTTTATATTCAACTTTGATTAAAACAAATGGACTTTACAAGCAACCCTTGAGACTTAATTAATGCTATTGATCCAAAGGCTCCAAATTACCGAGGTGCCTTTAATATCAATATACGTGACCTTTCATGTATTTTTCCATCAGGGAAAAAAAAAATCTAAAACACCGAGGTACTCTAGTTTCTTTTCAAGGGATTACTGATGGTTGTCTTCCTGAGATGCAAAAGACCACAAAAGAAAAGCACCATGCTTACGTTGCTGAACGAGACATCAGACACTAATAGTTTGGTCCTTTTCTAAATGGATCTCTTCCCACAATGACACTAAAACATAATGATGGATCGCAGATGCCTGGGGGGCCTGGTTGCCCTTGGATTCCAGGTTTTCCATGATCTCCATCTTTGCCAGGGATACCCGGGTCTCCTGGAGGACCTTCTTTGCTTATGCCAGGAGGGCCCTCTGGACCTAACATGGAATATGGACAATATGTAATCAGAGAAATTTGTTTTATGATAGTGAAATATTGCTTCTGCAAGAACTTTAAAGTGAAAACAAATTAACTCTTGAACATTTTACATATTTGCACTAATGAAAGGAAGTGTCCTCTTGCTAATTCTATATGCTTTCCTCTTTAGAAAACAACATCCAAAAGTAATCACTAATTTTTGTAAAATTAGGATAAGCATATTGATATAGCAATCATGCTAGTGACTCAGACACTGAGCTAACACCCTAATATCCCAATTTGTGAATTGTCCAAATTTATTTCTTCCTTTCAGTCCATCTTTTGCCAATATTATATTGGGTTGTCGGAAAAGTCAGGACTTATTTTTGCATAGAAAAACATGCCATGATTTCCAATAACCAATAAATTACAATCATTATAAATATATAGTAAGCCAACGTTCTAATGAAGTCATTTTTCTGCCATATTTGAAGTAAAATGACTGTTTCCATCCTATTTTTTTAGTTTCCATTTCTAAATACATTGTCATTATCATGGTATAATCGTCATCAATACATAGGTGTTAGAGCACTAGTTTCTCAACCATAACCTGAGTAGTCTCAGTTTGCATGCTCAAGGAAAGAAGAGTTAACTTAAGACACTGGCGTTTTAAAGCTGATGATCCAAAATAACAAAAACAAAATTCAAGTTGGAGCACTTTCTACTACTGTACTTCCTATAATGAACGTGTATTTAGCACTTACCCACGATCATAGGTACTATTCTAAGTGTTTTTACATAAACAATATTAAATCATTGGTCTACTCAAAAGTCTCATGAGTTAATACATCTAAAATCATATGAAAGCAGACATTAAAAACTTAACTGTGACTGTTAACTATCCAACACACCACGGTAAAGATAACGTTATCATCACCGTTTAACAAATAAGGACCCTGAGGCACGGCACAGTAAATTTCACAGCCAGTAGAGGTTACTTAAGAGTCCACTTCGGCTTTATTCTGCTTTCATGAGGGTCATAAAGATTAAGCCGTATTAGCAGAACTTGTAGAACTCTACTAAAGAATAGATTTTAGACTGTCTAACAATAAGCAAAAGATGACCTTGAATAATTTACAAACATAATACACAAAAAATATTCTAGTAGTTAGACCTCAATGTATTAAATGTGAGTCACTCAAAAAATAAAATTGCCTTCGTTTCAAACCATTTGACATTAAGATCACTTTTTTTTTTTTTTTAAGGCAAGATTTTTGCTATAGGGTGCTAGCGCTTTCCTGAGACACAGACAGAAAGTGAGAAATCACTCCCAGGGAATGGGGGTGGGATGGCCACATCACAATCCCTTCTCCTCCATTCTCTTTTCAGGACTATAGGCATGTATGCACCGGCATGAGTTTTAAGCCACTGGCCCCGGGACTCAAACCACAGTCCACTACTTGGGAGTTAAGCGATATACTCCCTTTGCCATCTACTGGTCCCTATGATGACTTTTTTAAATTAAAGAATTATTTATTTAATTCCCTTTGTTATTATTGTTCTTTTTTAATTTGACCAGAGAGAGACAGAGAGGAAAAGCAAGGAAGCAAGTCGCCAGGTCCAGGACTCTAACTGTGGGAGTCCAGAGATATAACCACTTGTAGGTCACATTAAAGAGATTTTTAATTAAAATGTGGGAACCCAGCACCTTTAACAACCATGCCCCCTGCCAGCCCCATGATATTTTTAAGGTACCGTGTGCAGCACCCCTTATAAGCATATACCAGTTCTTACCTGGGGGACCGGGAGGACCTTGTTCTCCAGGATACCCAAACCCTTGGCTCCCTTTTGCCCCATTTCTTCCTGGGAGGCCTGCAGAGTATTACACATGTGAGTAAGCCTACTTTTCCTGAAAGTCACTGCCTTCTAGATTGTTTCTTCCAAAGCTATTAATATACACTTCGAAAGGAAAATAAATCTTTCTGAAAACAACTTGCCACCTACTTATTATTACTAATAAGAAATAGAATGTTTGAAGCAAATATTTTAAAAATGATCAGTGGCCTTGACAAAAGCTGTAAAGAGAAACAAATATTAGGAAAAGAAAATGATTTAACATGGTTAGCCTTTTTTGCTAAGTCACAGTGGTCTTTTCATTATTTTCATGAAACATCTATATTATTCATATAATATTAACTAAAAATGGAATTATCAGTCAATCTGTTTTACATAAATGTTTAAAGGCAAAGAGAAGTAAATTGTGGGCTATTAGGGAGTTTGATTGCAAAACATGAATTTTCTTAGTGTAGAAAAGAAATTTTGAATAAGGTGGCACAGCAGAACATTACCAATGTCCAAATAAAGAAAACACTGTGTATTATTTTCTATTTGAAGTCCTTATCAGACTCAAGCAAACTTTCTAAATGTATTGTCAGCATTTTATAATTTGTAACTTAGTATGTTCAGAATCTTAACCTCTATGTCAGAATATCGCTTCAAGAAAACTGCACAATTGCTCTTTAAATCAGTTAATGAAGTACTTAAAAACAGAAATGGACTAATATTTTTGGTCATGATGACAAAGATGAACTCTTATCTGTTAAATTAATATAGGATGGAAGTAAAGAAAAGTGCTTCTCTATGTTCATTTATTTATGCAAATAAAGTAAGTACCTTTTAACCCTCGGGCTCCTGGGCGTCCAGGGGCACCCATTAGTCCAGGTACGCCATCTCGCCCAGGCAAACCAGGAAATCCTCGGGGACCTTCTGGGCCTATGGGACCAGGCGGCCCAGGAATACCAGGGGAACCATGTTGAGATGAGCAACGATCGCAATTTTGAATTCTTCTATTCTGAAGTAAGACTGGTAGCTGGTCTTAAAAACAAAGAAATTCCACTTCTTATGTTTAACTAATAAATTAGAGTCAATATCTCTAACAATTTTGCTGTTATTTACAGGAAAAAAAATCCATAGTCACTAAATAAGTATATCTCTCTTGGTCAATAATTTTATTTCTAGGAATTTAAGTACAGAAATAGTCACTGCTCTGTGTAATAATTTTTTTACAGTAATTGCTTAAAATACCAAAAAAGTGAAAATATCCCCCAAAAGAAATTAGTACAATTATAGACATTCATATTTATGAATTAACTTATTAAGAATTATGTCATAAAAGAAATTTTAATTAGTGGTAAAATAATGATTTTTAAAAAAGAGTATATGTATTATTCTGTTTTGAAGAAAATATTTATCAAAAAAAAAAAAAAAGCCCAAACAGCAGACAGGGGCTTATAAATGTTGTTTATTATTATTAATTTTTTTTTTAGTTTTTGCTACAGAGTATATGCGCATGACAGAGAGAAGAGAGAGAGTGAGAAATCACCCCCGAGGGGGATAGCCATGCCACAGTCCCTCCTCCAGTCTCTTCTAGGGATTTGGGGCACACACGCACGTGCACCCACTGTGATTTTCAAGCTGCCGGGTTTGGAACTTGAACTGTGCAGTTCGCCATTTGGGATCCAGTGCCTAACTCCATGTAGCCTGCTGGCCCTAAAATGTTTATTTTTATCTTTATCTCACTAATGTCTTCTACAGTTCCTACCAATAAATTCACATTACTTTTACATTTTTTTAAAAAAGTTACTAAAACTCTGTATTTGACACTTACCTCTTAATACATCAGTGCAAACTTGGCGAATAAACTGTTCTGAAAATTCTCTTCCCTGCGTGAAATTATTGGGGGTTATAACATGGATGTAACAGGTAGAAAACAATGAAGATATAAAAACTGTGAGATAAGCAGAATACATACAGGCTTCCCATCCAGTCCTGGAGGACCCTGAGCACCTGCTTTTCCAGGTTGTCCCTGGGGACCCATGGGTCCCATAAGGCCATCCAGTCCAGGTTCTCCTTTAGGTCCAATAGCTCCTCTGACACCAGGGTCTCCTTTTTCACCTCTCTAAAACCAGAAGAAATAGTTACGAGTTCCATTTAAATGCTTCAGAAGGTAAAATTGCCTCATAAAAAGTTCTCAAGGATATTATAGGTATTTATATATATTTAAAATATACATAAAAGTGATGTGGGAGATGCCATCATTGATCGGGAAGGAAACTTTGTATCATTTTATACATGCATACATCCAGCCCTAAGAACATCCACTATTTGCTGAGTACTCTGTGTACTCAATAAATACAGTGTCAGTGATATATCTATAAACATGGTACAGTCCGGTTTAGGAGCATTCATTCTAGAAAGACAAATACAAACATATACAATATTTTCATTTAAAAATATACAAAAATATTCAGTCCCTAGTTTATAAGAATAAGCAGCAATATTGGAAAACATGCCATTTTGTGTCTAATTCAATAGAAATGTACATATTCTGAAAATCACTAAATAGGAACTGCTTCTAAATTACATGAAAGATAACTTACTGCTTACAATGTCAAAAGTTAGTTTATACAGGATCGAAACAACCCAAGCAATAAGGACCGAACACAGGAATGAATATATATGAATATACTCATAATGTATTCACACATTCACACACATACATACATACATGGACACACACACATTGTAGAAACATACCTCTCCTTTTGTACCGTGATGGCCTTGAATCCCCTTTAGAATGTAACAGAAAAAAGCTATAATAAATATGCAAGCTCCAGTGCTAGCAATGTTCATGTACCTTTAACCACATATTTAATCAAACCTGAACTTTGGGTTGGAAAATATTTACATTATTGACAATTCTACACATAAGAGATTTTTTTGGCCTCTTTAAAGGAGGCTAATGACTAGCAAATATGTTACTTGGATAGAATAAACTTTCAATTTGCATAATAGTTCTTTTTTAGATGTGAATGTTCTCACATACTGCTGATTAAATCATGCAGGTTAGAAACAAACTCTGCAGGATTGAAGATATTATTTAAATGTAAATGAAAACTCAGATTAAATATAAAGTATATTTATTCTTTTAGATTATAATTAAGATAAGTAGTCTTTTCTCAAGTTGATGTTCTTTAAATTAGAGTATGATTTAGTGCTATTGATAAAAGATGAGTAAAATAAAGGTATCCTAAAAAGGTGATTAATACGGGAGAAAACAACTTTTTGTATTATGCCTAAACCACTCACTCTTTATAATTAAGAGACCAGAGAAGCAGTGAAGCTCACTCATCACCATAATTACAAGATACATCTGGATGGCTCTATTACAAATTTCCCACTCATTCCTGTCACATATTCATTCCAATAACAGGATTATAGATAATAAGAACTCTTAGGAAAGGCAGTAACATTTTCCTTTTTTTTAATTTATTTATTTATTTTGAAATGCATTGCGCATCAGGCTCTAAAATTATACAATCAATATTCAAAAATAAGGTGTAACTTTCACATCACAGATGTTTCATTATGCATTTTTTTTTTCGAGAGGTTTTCACTATAGGGCACATGCGCTCGCCAGACAGACAAAGAGAGACAGAGAGACAGAAAGCAAGAAATCACCCCCCCAGGGGGGATGGCCACGCCGCAATCCCTTCTCCTCCCCCTTCTCAGGATCTTGAGCACGCACGCACACATGTCCAGCGTGAGTTTAAGCCACCGGGTCCGGGACTCAAACCGCGTTTGACTACGTGGGAGTCCAGCGACATAGACATTACACCAACTGCTGGCCTCTCATTATGCATCTTTAAAACTAAAAATCAGTGTTCTACAATTCAATATGAAATTTAAATGTCTAATGGTTATAGAGTGAAACTTGAGTTTAACTTTGCTTTTATTTTCAGGTGTCCTAAACATGGATATCTAAATTAGAGAAAGGAAAAAATAAAATGAACATTTGTCACAAAATAGATTCTAGAAATGTGAGCATAAAAACACCAAGTATTTGCTTTTCACATTAAGATATCTATTAGGGGTTGTAACATTCTGTAAGGCTACTTTTTTCAATATGAAGTTTGTTTCTGAAGAAACAAAGGGGCACTCTCTACCAGCCATAATCCTGGCATGGCATCCAATGCGAAGGGAAAGATGAGATAGTGGGTTCTCAGGCTGGAAACTGATTAGAGCTGAAACTGAAACAGCTGTCATCTGAGAGTCCATTAAGATGATTTCGTGAGAGAAACATTCACTTGGACTCTATTTTAAAAATGACGGCCAAAAAATTACACAAATGCAGCACTTGGTGGGATGACAGGTAACTAAGAGGTTTACGTAAGGGGCTTGGGATGACGGTTCAGCTGCTGAGAAGCAACAGCTGCTCTGGCCCCTGGGTACCCTGTACAGGCTTAGTTCTTGGCGGTAGTAGACACCACTTCCAAAAACTCTAGGGCAGAAGCTTTCTAGGGAACCCAAATCCTGCCTTACGAGAGCAGACATGCTGTTTTTGTTTAGAAGTGTAAAAAAGAAAAAGACAAGTTAATGGGACTTTGGAAGAAGGGTCATCTGTACACAAGTGAGCTAAACTGTGAGCTCACATTCCAGGGGAAGTACCTTTTTCAAAGTTACTCTGAGTTACAGTTTGAGTGGCAGGCCTGGGTTGTGGAGGTCGAACTAAGGAGGGGTGAAGGGTCTGTGACAACAACTGTTTACAGACATTGTGCGGCTGCCTTGGGGAAACAGAAGGTTGTTTGCATCACAAATGGGAGAACAGGGACAGACTGGACTGTGTCATTGAGTGGTTTTGAGTAAAGTCAGAGAATGTAAAAATTAAAACATTTTTATTGAACACAGTGTACACAGGCAAACCCAACTCATTCCTCCTCTCAGTTACTTTTGCTCTTACTGGGATCTTCTACATTCTCAACTTTTCCTGCTACCTAGCACTCACCTTTCATTCCATATTCAGTAAACTAAGGGGTCACATGCTTTCAAACACTCTCTCCCACAGTCCCTCAGATTCCTCCAAGTAAGGCACACAGGAATCCCTGTCCTTGGTGATGCTGTGACACAGTTTATCTCCCCAGCTCCAGGGTGGGTGTAGTTAGTCAATCTTGCTCCCACCCTCATTCAGAGAAAGAAGTCTACGCTGCAGGAGGACTCACACGCACAGCCTGCCCTATCAGTCCAGACCAAACTGGTACTGACCCCCACACACTGATGCTCTCCTCACTGCAGCGGAGCACTATAAGTGTTCTGTAAGTACCAATCACTTTTAGGCCTTTTTGGGTTCACTTTGATCCGACTGAACTTACACATCATGCGACAATCTCGCTGAAACACTACCTAATGAGAACCAGTTTACTTCACCGAAAGAAAGCACTGAAAACCAAATTTCACAGTCATCGATGTAATCGATATGGGAAAACGAAAATAGAAAACAATGAAAGAAACCAGTATCACCACCACATGAATCAATATTTTATTTTTTATTGAAGGAAAATTTAAAAATACCTGTTGCCCTGGAATTCCTTGTTTTCCGTTTTCTCCCTTTTGACCCTTTAAAATTTATTAAACATTACTAATTAGTTTGCATGCATATGACACAATATCATATACCATACAAATTCTAAGTCTAGAAGAAATGTCACAAAAGCATAAGGCAATTATGTAAATTGTGTGGAAAATGGGAAAGTTACTCAGTAATAAGGAAATGAAAGGAAAGTAGAGCTAATCATAGTTAAAATGGACAGCGACAAGAAATGAACTATTGATTTGAGGAAACATGAAAATAATGCTCTGTGAGTTAATATTAATAGCATGAAAATAGTTTAAAAATCCAACAGAGGTGGACATTTTATTCATTTCAATGACACAAACATGTTCCATTTCGACTACAGGCATAAGAGACAGAAGAGCTCTTTGAAATTTTTAAAAATAAAACTGTTACCTTTTAAGAAAAAATTAAAGAAAGATTTTCAAATTAGGACAAACAAAAGAAAAAGATTACTAAAGATATAAACACATTTGTCCATTCAGTAAACAATTTTAGATATCCCCCATATATAAGACATTATACAGACCCTGAAATACAACTACATCTCAGCATTGGACAAGACAATCAGCAGTCTCGGAAGAGATATGCCTAAATACTATAAACAACAAAAGATCTAATGACTATTTTTTTTTTAAAGACAGAGTCTCTTCATGTCAAGATCCTCGTGCCTCAGCCTTCCCAGCAGCTGGGACGGCAGACCTGCACCACATGCCCCGCTTGTCCAGGCAGGGCGTTGCTGTGCTGCCCACACTGGCTGCAAGCTCAGAGTCCTCCTGCCCCAAGAAGTTACTGTGGAGACCCAGGACCACTGAGAAGAAATTATTAGCACAGTGAGGACAGAAAGAAGGGACCAACTACAAAGATATATGGAGCTGGTTAAACAATTGGATGTGAAAGAGGAAGAGACCAGGTTTTAGAATGACTTCCAAAGGATTTGGTGGGGTGGTGGAGATGAGAATGTGTGCAGGTACCAATTACAAAGGATAGAGGACGACTGTGGGAAAGGATGGCAAGTTTTGTTTCTGACATGTTGAACTTAAAGCACCAATAAGCAATATCAAGAAGGAAATTGGAAGGGCCAGCAGTTAGCGTGGTGGCTATGTCGCTGGACTCCCATGTAGTCGACCGCGGTTCGAGTCTCGGACCCGGTGACTTAAACCTATGTCGGGTGCATGTGCGTGCGTGCCCAAGATCCTGAGAGGAGAATGGAGGAGAAGCGATTGCGGCGTGGACATCCCCCCTGGGGGGGGGAGCGATTTCTCACTTTCTGTCTCTCTGTCTCTGTCTGTCTGGTGAGCGCACATGCCCTATAGCAAATACCTCTCCAAAAAAAAGAAGGAAATGGGAAAATGTTGTCTAGAGCTCACAGACACTTAAAACTTACCTCACTCTCAATTTCAAAATTAACTTAAAGGAATTATGATAATACTTAAAAGTCTTCAGTAAAAACTGCCTGAAAAAAACAGAATTTTGGCATACCACTTCAAACGATTTTTTATGTCATGAAGAATTAATTCCAGAGTAGAGAATGGTAAGACAGTGAACCTGGCAGATTTTGACAATTACTATTTCAATTTTAAATCTCCTGTTTCCTCCAGAAACCATAGAGTTTTCAGAATTGTATATTTGTGAGAAGTTTTGTTTTACTTCAAGCTTATTCTGGACAGTGAAGTTCAGATACTATATCTGAGCTTTGTAATCTGAAAAGCATTAGAGCTGTCTGAGTACTATATTTGTCATTTAATGATTAGAAAAGTTTCATATTTCTAAAACTTGAAAATATTGAAAAATCAATAGATACACTTTACTCCTTATAAATAGATCACTGACTCAGCTAGTGGCATCCTATTCAAGAATCAGTCTTCATTTCACAAAACCACCCATTTTATATCAATTCAGGTGAAAATATCTTTGTCTCCCAAAGTAGTAGAATCCTTCTCCTTTTTGTTTTGTTTGCTAAGACACCCAAACCTGCCCCCCCACAAAGGTCTTTGCCTTAGGAGCGTGCACTTGCTAGAGAGTCAGATACAGTGAGAGGGGAAGTGAGATATCACTCCGGGAGACGGCTGTCTCGCAATCCTTTCTCCTCCATTCTCTTCCTGGGGTCATGGGCGCTCATGCACATGTGCTCAGCGTGATTTTCAAGCTACTGGGTTCAGGACTCGAACCACAATCAGCCATGTGGGAGTCCAGCGGCATAACAACTATGCTATTTGCTGGCCCAAACCTGATGTCTTTCTAAATCAATTTGTTTCCTCAGCCTAATATAATTTGTTTGTATAATTCTTTTTCTATAAATTAGTTAGACTATGTTTTATGTTTTCTGTTAATGCTTTTTTTTCTTTTCTTTTCTTTTTTTTTGGAGAGGTTTTTTGTTATAGGGTGCATGCACTTGCCAGAAAGACACAGAGAGACAGAATGTGAGAAATCACCCCCCAGGGGTGATGACCATGCCGCAATCCTTTCTCCTCCATTCTCCACTCAGGATCTTGGGCATGCACACACAGGCACCAAGCATGAGTTTAAGCCACCAGGTCGGGGACTCGAGCCGTGGTCAACTACATGGGAGTCCAGTGACATAGCCATTATGCCAACTGCTGGTCCTGCTGTTAATGCTTTTTAATCAAAAAAATTTTTTTACCATAAACCATTTTATGTCACTTTTGGAAAGATATACACTACTAATAAATAGATAGAAAGATATATGCTACTAATAAATAGATAGAAAAAGTATGTAGCAAAATCTTTATTTTGTGGTTCCCAGGTTTTCTAGAACAGTGAAGTGATGAAGAATCTTCAAATTAGATTTGATACTGTCTGTGAGGGTTAGGAGCAAAAGGAGAATGATAGGATTTAACAATTATATATTGATGGTGAAACAAGAAGGAACTGGGAAGGAAATATAAGAAAGCCCTGATTTTATTGGTAAGCCAAAAAGAAAAAGAAAAGAAAAATACCTGAATGCCTTTTTCACCTTGACTTCCTTTATCGCCCTGCAAGAAAAAGAGAGTTGAATGTGTATAATAGTTGGGTATATTCTGTCTCCTTTCAAATGAACATGCTTCCTTTGGCAGAGGAAATATAGTTTTATGCAAATTCTACAAGTGCTTGTACATACAGACTATGACTCCTAATATATTTCAGAAGAGGGCAAAAACACATAATATCAAAATGATATTCTAAAAGAATACTTTTTATGCTCCCATTCTTGAATTTAAATTTACCACAATTTCTGTTTTGCCAGAAAGAAGACAACTTCTATATTGTTCACAATCTGAGGTTAAACAAACACAGTGGACTTATTTTGACAAATGTTGCTTTACGAAATCAGACTGAAAATCTTCCATTAAGCTAATAGTAGCCACAAGTTTATAGGAAACAATGACACGGTAAAACACAATGCTTGAATGATATTTCAGAAAACACAGCCTTCAAAATTGAGCTTCTGGAGGAAAATTCATATTCCATAATAATAAGGTTCATGGAATTTCTCAGCTAGAAGGGAAATTAGAAACCTACTAGTACAATGTCCTCACTTTTATAGAAAATTAAACTGCAGATTGGGAAAGCCCTTGCCCAAAGTTAGATTAGACACTGTTTCCCAATTTACTTTCTACCTCTTCAAGACACCTAAACCTAAGTTTGAGTTTTGGGTTTATAGAAAGAAAATACAGATTGCCAAAAAAAATAGGTTTGCCAGGGTCCAGCAGATGGCGCCGGATTCCTACCTGGCCAACTGCGGTTCGAGTCCTGGACCTGGCGGCTTACTTTTTCACTTTTCCTTTCTCTTTCTCTCTGTGGTCAAATTAAAAAATAATAACAACAAATGGAATTAAATAAATATATTTTTTTAATTGCCAGAAAGTGCATGTGCTTCCTGAAAAGAGATGGAAGAGAGTCACATCTCTATTGTTTCTCCTCTATTCTTCCTCCTTTCAGGACTTTGGGCACATGTGTACATGCACCCAGTGGAATTTTCCAAGCCACAGATCTGCAACTCAAACCATGCTGTCAGCCATGTTGGGTCCAGCCACCTTGTCATGGAGCAGCCCTCCAGATTTGCTTTTAAAATGGCACTATTTTTTTTTTTTAAGAAAGAGTTTTGCTATAGTGTGCATGCACTCACCAGAGAGAGAGAGAGAGAGAGACAGAAAGACAGAAAATGGGAAATCACCCCCCAGGGATGATGGCCACATGGCAATCTCTTTTCCTCCAATCTCTTCTTGGGATTTAGGGCATGCACGCACATGGGCCCAGTAAGAGTTTGAAGCTGTCAGAACCAGGACTTGAACCATGGTTTGGCTGTGTGGGAGTCCAGCAACATAACCATTACACCATCTGCTGGTCTAAAACTGGCACATTTTTTAATAAGAAAGTTATCCTAAGTCCAAACACATACTCACACTAGGTTTACTGATCATTCACAGAAAGCATTAACACTTAATTACTGCTCGGAGGGGCCTTGCCTCGGCCAAGTACTTAGTACTCACTGGAACAAAAAGGCAAAGGGTCATACTGGGTATGATAACCTAGGGACCAGGTAAAATATGCATGATGGGTACAAAAATGAAAGTGCAGAAAACTGAAACATCGAGGGAAATGAAGATGGAGACAACAGTTTGCAGCCTCCCCAGAAGAAAAGCCGGTATACTTACTTTTAACTTGAAATGAATATACTCAAGGTAACATGGACTTTGGCCCATGAGCATCAGTTATTGCTTAAAACTCCAAACGAATAATAGTATTTCTTTTTTTTTTTAGAATTATTTATTTAATTTTCATTCATTTATTTTTTAATTTGACCAGAGAGACACAGAGAGAGAGTGAGAGAGAGAAAGTGAGAAAGCCAGCCACCAGGTCCGGGTTCGAGCCGTGGTCAGCCGTGTGGGAGTGTCCAGTGCCTTAACCATCATGCCACCCACTGATCCCCCAAATAATAGTATTTCTACAGATACCATTTAGGATTCTTTTACTTGACTAAAATAAGACAGAGGTAAAAAGAGAGACACCGTAGTATTGTAGTCTTACCTTACCAAAACATTTTAAATGAATACATACAGTTTGTATTTTAGACTCTTTAATTTTATATCAAATTCTACATAATATAATTGTTTCATAGATAGATAGATACCTCATGGTCAGACATTCTGGTTGTAATTTCTACCCTTTCAGACATTGTTCCCAGTTTCAATAAAAGAACGTCTAACATGACCAAATACTTTTCATAAAGCACTTCTCGATAAAGTTGGATTGATTGCAAAAACATTTGAATTTATAGGATATTATTTAATTGTACATTTACATTTTCTGAGCTGTATGCTTTTTCTAAGGCATTCATCTGGGAGCTAGTACTCATGCAGAGATATACATTTGCTATAGCTAATATGGAATGAACAATTATGTGTACACCAAATATACAGGGTAGCTTACCATTAAATTATAATCATGCCCATTATGCTAGTTTTTTAAAAAGAGAAAAAAGACTTACATGTAAATGACTGATTAAAAAGTGAATTATTGGGCCAGCATTTGGCATGGTGGTTAAGGCACTAGACTCCCACATGGTCAACTGTGATTTGAGTTCTGAACCCCGCAGCCTGAAAATCATGCTGGATGCATGTGCATGCATGCCCAAAGTCCCGAGAGGACAATGGAGGAAAAGGGATTGCACCATGGCCATCCTTCTGGGGCGGGGGCTGGGGGGCAATGATTTCTCACGTGCCCTCTCTCTGTCCCTGTTTATCTCCTTCTGGCAAATGTACATACAAAAAAAAAATCTTTTTTAAGAGAGATTTTTGATATAGGGTGCATGTGCTTGACAGAGAGAGAAAAAGAGACAGAAACAGAAAGCGAGAAATCACCCCCTCCCCCCAGGTAGATGGCCTTGTGGCAATCCTTTCTCCTCCATTCTCCTCTTGGAATTTTAGGCATGCACTCACATGCACCCAGTGTGAGTTTTAAGCCACCAGGTCTGGGACTTGAGCCATAGTCAACTATATGGGAGTCCAGCGACATAACCATTACGTCATCTACTGGCACCTAAAAAAATCTTTTAAACGAGAGACAAATAAATAAAAAGCGGATTCTATTTCCAACCAATACATACCTTTTTCCCTTGAATCCCAGGTAAACCCATGTATCCTGGTTCTCCTGGAGGACCCATTGCTCCTGGTTCCCCCTAGAGAACACAGAAATTTCATGCAGATTATATACATACTGCTTATGAAAAATATCACCTTTTTAATCGCTACATAACATCTCAAAATTAAAATACATGGCTAAAAATGGACTTTTTAGAGTTTTTACAATAGAAATATAGTTGGCTCCCTTTCATTTACCTATTAACTTTTTCTTCCTTCTTGAAAATGTTTTCTCTCACATTGCTTTAAAAAACTTATTTTATTGTTACAAGCCTGATAAGTAAACAGAATAAAAACTACTGACAGGCTCAGTAACCAGTGTGTTTTTTTTTCTTTTTGTGTTTTTTAACATGTTTTCTCTTTAAACCTAATTCAAAAATACACATACATAATTTAGTTACTAATGTCCTTGCTTTGTGTATACAATTTTATGACTTTTAACCTCAAAATATACTTATTTTGTGAAGTTTTTTATGTCATTATGTGTTTTTTAAATTTATTTGTTTGCTGTAGGATGCATGCATTTGCAGAGAGGGAGGCGGGACTAAATAACCCGTGGGGGGATGGCCACATTGCCAAGAGATCTTCTCCATTCTCCTCTTAGAATTTTGGCCATGCATGCACATGCACCCAGAGAGTTTTACAAGCTGCTGGGTCCAAGACTCAACCTCGTGTCAGCCATCTGGGATTCAGCTGCCTTTACCACCACACCACTGGCCAGCCCTATTTACATACATTTATACATATGGAATATTATTTTCCTAGAAATAAGATTTTGAGCTCTTTTCAGTACAGTGCCTATTACATGAGCTATTTTCATTCAATTGTCCCATTCTTCGTCATTCTATAGTAATTTTTCTTTCTGAAATAATTTTTTTAAATGTTTTTTTCTCATATTGCTACTTTAGGTTCTCTACAAGCATACATTGACAGTACATATCAATATTGAGAAGATATTTGTAAGAGATGGAGTGGAATAATGAAGATGATTTATGATTTTTTGTTCTGTTTTATGATTATCCATTAATCTAAAACTCAATCACATTTATTAAGGACTCCTTTTTTGTGTGTGGAAACCAAGTTTTATTCTTTTTGCTGGTCATACTCAGCTACTGACTACTGAGTATTGTTCTAGATTTTTACAGGCTAGAAGTGATTTAAAATCCTATTGAAATAAGCATCAGTCATTTGGCTTGGAGGCAATTGGCTAAAGCAATTGTGAGTCCCCACACCACAGAAGAAAGTCCTATTAATAAGCAAAGGAAAGAATAGCACTCCTGAGAAAAAGCCCTCATGTTCACAGTTACTTCAGAAAGGTATATTCTCTGAACCAGAGAGTATATTTGATTAGCAGAAAATCTTTCTATTTCTAGAAAAATCAAGCCATAGGTTATTTAACCAATGACAAAATATCAAAGAATAGAAATGAAATCCCATATTTACCGTTTCCTTTCATGTACTTAATTTTGTGATAAAGGTAATCCTTTATTTCATGTATCTTTTCTTAAAAGCTACAAACATTTAAGTTTCTAAAATTATCAGGGGAACTCACATTTTAATTTCTTTAAAAATATTTCTGAATGCATTGAATCATAATTACCTTAAGTCCAGAAGTCCCAGGCATCCCTTGAAGCCCAGGTTCCCCTTTGGTCCCCTGTCAAGGTATCAAAAACATTTTACAAAGTTACAAAATATCTTACATAGACATTTAATGGAGTATGTTTTACATAATTTTTACATTTATAACTTCCTAGTTTCTTTCTTTTTTAATTGCTAGAGACTATGTGCATTTGCCAGAGAGAGACAGAGACAGAGAGAGGGCCCTAGTGGGAGATGGTCATTCTGCAATCCCTTCTCCACCATTTTTCCATCCCGTTAGGGTTTGGGCCACACATGTATACATATATGGCATGTTTTTCAAACCACCATGGCCAGGATTCGAACTATGGTTGGATATGTGGGATCTGGCTATAGTGCTGCCCCCTTATTATTTGAAACACACTCTAAACTTTAAGCCTTTTAATTTTTTTAAGTCTTTTAAGGAAGGAACTGAGTTCATACGTTTAAAAAATTCCCTAAAAGTCTGTAAAAGCTGATAGTTCAGGTAGAAGAAATTCAAATCTTCAGGAACCAGCAAAAATAAGCTCAATTTCTACACTGAACCAGTGGAAAGCACCTAGTTGAACAGCACCCTCTGGGCTGAGTCTCATCACTGCCCCGTTGCACTTTCTCAGTGTAACTTACCTTTGGTATTCAATGGAAGGAAAGAAAATTCACTTCAAATGCACAATGGCTTTTTTGAAGTGTGAATCAGAAAACATTTAGTTTGTGTTCTCTCTCAGGATTCCAGTGTAGCCCTTCCTAACATATAGCAACATGGAGAACAAGATCAAGTTGACAGAGCAAAGGATGTAATACAGGAGAAGAGAACTAGCCATCAGAAGAGAGAGCAAGCCTGCTCGCTCCTGTGGAGAGACTGCCAGGTGGAGTTCTGGGATAAGGCGCACATGCTTGCCGGAGAGAGAGACAGGAAGTGCGAAATCGCCCCCAGCCAGAAAGGCCATGCCACAATCCCTTCTCCTCCATTCTCCTCTTTGGATTTTAGGCACACACACACACACACACACACACACACACAGAGCGAGTGTGAGTTTTAAGCTGCCATGTCTAGTACTCAAACTATGGTCCACTACATAGGAGTACAGCAACGTAACCATTATGCCATCTGCTGGTTCCTCATTTTTAGCTTTTAAAAAATATCTTCTAGGCTGCTTATACTTGATTTAATTAAAGCATTTAGCACGTAACAATATTATTGAACCATAACACAATGGTTCCTTGAAACAGCAAGTGCAGATTTCAGAAACTGCACGGGAGAGGAGTGGACAGTAGAGGGTGGGTGAGAGGGGCCTAGGGAAAAAGTCCTTATCGGACATAACATGGAAAGTTCTCTGTTGAAAATTATGTTTATGGTAATATTCTTGACTTGTTTATCAAGTATTACATGCATACTTTGAAAAACACATTGTGTGGCATAGATATGTACAATAATTGAATATAAATAAATCATAAAATAAAAATATTTTTTAATTTCAAATTTTATATGTGATTAAGCTGAAACTCAAAGATATGACAAAACTCATTGGAAGTTATATGTTTTAAAACTGACATATAACCATGGAAGGCTTGTTAAAGAGTCTAATCTGAAGTTCCTTATAAAAGGCTCCAGCAAAGTCAACTAAATCAATAAGTATTTTTATTGGGCTTTGTGCACATAACAGACCAAATTCAGACTAAACTTTTCTTTTTTTTTTCTTTTTTTTTTTTTTTAACATATTAGTATATGCCTCTCTTTAGTAAAAGGGGGAATGGAAAGAGAAAAAAAATTTCAGAAGAAAATTACAGTGTACTAGTTATAAGATTTTAGCTTTGTCCATATCTATTTTTTGAGTTTTTTTTGTATCTACCTACTGTTGAACAAAATCCTAACCTTTTTCCTGGTTTTAAGACTTAAGCAAATTTTTCTTAAAATTTTTTTTATTTTGATTTATTAAAGCTAAAACTACTTTTCTTGCAATTAAAAAATACATTAAAAACAAATACAAATAAATTTTTTAAAAATACCTACTAAATGACCACAGTAAGCTATATAGCCTAAGCTAGGTACTACTATATAGTATGTTTATTCTACACACTGAGTTTTATGCCTGAAGTCATACATGTGTTCACAGATGTTTATATTAACTGTACTTACTATTTTAAAAATTATTTCCTTTATTTTTATTTATCATTATAGTTATTTTCAATTTAATTTTTTTAAGTCTTTTAAGGAAGGAACTGAGTTCATATGTTTAAAAAATTCCCTAAAAGTGAGACTCACTCAGAAAGAGAAAGAGAGGGAGAAAGCAAGCCACCAGGTCCAGGACTCAAACTGTGGTCAGTCATGTGGGAGTCCACAGTCCCTAAGTATCATGCCACCTGCCGACCCCCTGTACTTACTACTGAAAGTATTTAATTAAGATCTTTTGTGAATCAATAAAATGTGGGGAAAAAATGGAAAATAACTGTGAATACCAGAGACAGTATGAGAGGGGAGTGGGACATCACAGAGGGTGAGAGGGAGGGAATCAGTGCAGGGGAAAAAAAAAAAGAGAGAGAGAGAGAGAAGTAAAACATGTAAGAAATAAGAAATGGAAAATTATTTGTTGAAGATAACATGTATGATAATATCTTTGACTGAGTCAATATACAATATCCTGGATGGGAAAACTCATTTTGTACACTGCAATAATATACAGTAAATGAATGTAAAATAAATACATTTAAATTAAAAATTTTAAAAAAATTTGCATATAGTATGACCAAGTAGGCTTATAGGTATTTTGACAATTTTTTAAAAAAATTTTTGCCACAAAGCACATGCACTCACCACTGGAGAGAAACAGAGAGTGACCATTAGAGGGATAGTGAGAGATCACCCCCTAATGGGGATGGCCACACCACAATTCCTTCTCCTCCATTCTCCTCAGAATTTTGGATATGCATGAACCCACACCTGGTGTGATTTTCAAGCTACCAGGTCCAGGAATTGAACCATGGTCAGCCATGTGGGAGTCCAACACTTTAATCATAATGTCACCTGCTGATCCCTCAAAATTATTTTAAAAAGAAGTATTACAATTTAAATTAGAAGTGCACTAAGATCTACCAGAGATTTTCAGCCTGACCCCTGCCCTATTTAATACAAGGTTTTGTGTGTGTCACCCTAGAATTACTACTAACAACACTGACAGCACAATCCAAGAACATATCATTGACAACACTGACAGAAATAAACTAATATAGAGGTCAGTTAACAATGACCCATGGGCTAAATCCAGCCCAGTACATGCTTTCGACATGAAGTTTCAACATAGCATGGCCACATCACTAGCCACTCATTCACATCTTGTCCATGCAGTTTTTACACTGCAATAGGCAACACAGAGAATTGCAGCAGAGTCAGGATGGTCCTCAGAGGACTGGCATCTTTACTCCCTGCCTTTTTCAGAGAAAGTTTCCAACACCTGAGCTAATATACTACAACCTAAAAGAAGGTAAAATATTTCATTGAAAAAATGACATTCAATGGGCATAATTTTTAACATATTGCATCTATTTTTAACAGAATAGTTGCATAAGAACAAATGAGAGAAACCAAACTTTAGAGTTCTTCATGTCAAAATAAACAAACTTGCCTAACTCAGCTAAATCAGCAGAATCTACTCAAGTGGTAGATGCCACAAATCTATTGTTTCTAAATTCTTTTATGGAAAATCCAACAGATTTAATTGACTTCCAGCTCAGTGTGAGCCAACAGTGTGATGTGGCTAATTAAATAAAGTCGATGAAATCTCAGGCTGCATTCTTAAGGATTAGAGCATACAAAAGAGCTCAGGAGAACGTACTGTGCTCCAGTTCATGACAGCCATTTTCTTACAAGATGACCTCAGAAATGAGGGAAACTTCTACGTAGAAAGCCCAGTCACTCCAGGGTTTTATATCTATACCAACTTTATGTACACCTACCACTGCTAGAGCCAAAAAGGCTCCAAAAGTTTCCAGTGATCAACCACTGATAAAAGAGCAGCTCCTTTCTCTAATCCCTGGGTTCCCAGAATAATTTATCCTCTTTCTTTTCCTAAATACTTTAGAAAATAAGAGTAGAATAAATGAGGTCATCTACTTATCTTGCACACCTGGGTCTATTCCCCCTGGTTTTAAAACACCAATTTCATCACTTCCTTTTTGGAAGGTTGTCCTAGAATCTACATGCTAAATAGTTGGAAAGAGATTCTTGAGTTCAGCCAGAATGTACTTAGTTTGATACTCTAATTAATCAAGAAAGTAAAATAGCTCTCTTAGCACAGAATTCTATACACCTAGAGATTGGTCAAACCATGATAGTCATAGACTTTCATTTGATTGAGAATAACTGAACTGATAGCATGCTATCTTACCTATAGGACTAAGGAAGGCCTAATAAAACTTACTACAATGCATTTTACAAATTAAAATCCCATGTATGTTTTACTAAATAAAAATAGCAAGAAGACAACTAGAAAATTAGTAACAGTATCATCCATCAAAACCACCAAAGCTGTAGATTGGTGGTTTGGCACTGAGCTTCATGGAACTCTTTAAGTATTCATCATTGCTTCCTGAGACACCATAAAGGGAAGAGGGGGTTGAGGGTTGCTGGACTCTGTCCAGCTTAAATTTAGCTGTTTTGTATGCTGAGCTTTTGCCTGGGATTTCATTGTCACAAATAATTTTCATGAATGGAAACCACATGCAAAATAAAATCAATGTACAGCCCCAGGCTGCCTGACGATGTATCAATCAGCAATGACCCACACATACGACCATGATCCCATAGGGAGCACCTGGGATGCACTACGTAGCCTAGGTATGTGGTAGGTTATACAATCTGCATTGTGTAGATGACAGTCTATGAGCATCTCACAACAACAAAATTGCCTGAAGACTCACTTTTCAGAATGATTCCTCACAATTAAGAGACAGTACTGTAGTTAAAATTTTCACCAAAGTTATAAATGGTCATCATGATTACACAAAGTTCTTGATCTCATTAATTTCATTATATTTACCTTAGATCCTGGTGTTCCAGGCTGACCTGGTGAGCCATCACTTCCCATTAAACCCTATATTTTGAAGAGAAAATTTTAGGTAATTTAGAGAAGAATATTAAACACTATTGAATCTATTTCCAAGTTATACATTCTTAATATAATCCACTAAATTATAATATCTGATCAATTTCCCCATATATATCCAAATACAGAATGATAAAAAGAAGAAATCAAACTATGGAAATTGTTTGAAACTAAAGGCCCTTATCATTGTGTTACTCAAAAAGAACAGGAAATTAGTAGAAAGCTAATAAAAGACAGATTGAGAAAAAAAATATTTTTCTATTACCTGCCCTTTTGTCTTGGGGCTGAGAATTGGATTTTAAACCCTCTCAAAACTTGAATTCATATTCAGTGGACCCCTTCCCTACTTTTACATACTAAATTCCCTAAATCTTTTACCTCTGAGTAAAGGACTTTTAACTTACATAATTAAATGAAGGTCATACATTTTCAAACGTGAAAGTGATCTGTTTTACATAAAGAGAAAGCCATTACAGGCAATTTGATTCATAGATTAGGATCAACATGAGTTCTAGTAATAAAGTTTTTTTTCAAATCTTGCACCCACAGTAGAATTTTCATAATTTCTAGTATCAAACTGCTGTGTCCTTTCCACTCCTCCAAGTTCTACAATAATTTGTCCACTGATTTAGGCCTTTTACTAACTCCTCTGAACGTATTCTCCCTCATTCATGCAATAAATTTATAAGTCTTATAAAAATGTAAAAAAAATACACTTGAGTTATAGACTTTTTCATGGTGTATTTTGTTTATTTTTTTTAAATGGATGAGAGACCATTTGTTTTCTGACATAGTTGTAGTACGGATCTCTGACCTTTACTTGGCCAACTTTCTAGGCGTCTGAACAAATCCTGACTCCTCTAGAAAAATGATCATCCTAAATGTATTTTCCATACAATTGGATGAAATTTGTGGACATCAAAAATCTCATTGTCATATACCCTACAGTTTCATGAATTCTAGAATACTAACTTCTGGTACATAGCAAGACCATTTTAAACACTTTGATCATAATAACATCAACATACAGGCAACCCTGGGGCTCCTTTTTTTCCTACTGGTCCTGGAGGCCCAATTTCTCCCTGAAAATAAAACACAGATCAAATTTTAAAATTGTAAATAATCAATTCATTTTCAGGATTTTTTTTTCAACCGAAGCACCAGAGAATAAATAGCCCAATCAATCAGCCCAACTGGTCTTCTTTCCCTTCCTCTACTGCAGGAAAGGAGCAAGGCGAGGAAGAAAATCAGGACTCCAACACCTTAAAAACCTCGGCTTAGGGGCTGTCAAATACTTTCATTATGAAATCTGAGCAGCACATATTATTCTTTTAAAGAAGACCTAGTAGCTTAGACAGAATTGATGACGTGACACAACAGGAAAAAAAATTAAGTGAAATTTTTTCTTATTGGAACCAGCAGATGGTGTAATGGCCATGTCACTGGACTCCCATGTAGTCGGCCGTAGTTCGAGTCCTGGACCCAGTGGCTTAAACTCACACCAGGCGTGTGTGCACGTGTGTGCCCAAGATCCTTGGGAGGAGAATGGAGGAGAAGGGATTGTGGCGTGGCCATCCTCCCTGGGGGGTGATTTCTCGCTTTCTGTCTCTGTGTCTCTGTCTTTCTGGTGAGTGCATGCACCCTATAGCAAAACCTCTCCAAAATATTTTTTTTCTTATGTATCACAGTATTTAAGAACATGATAGTGGAGCCGGTTCCATGGCACGGTGGTTAAGGCAGCTGGATCTCACACAGCTGACTAGGTACTTCAAGTTTCAAACCTGGCAACTTGAGAAATGCCAGGTGTATATATGTGTGTGCCCAAATCCTGAAAGGAGGGAGAAGGAAGAAGAGGGATTGCAGCGTGACCACTGTGCATGGGGTGCATTCTTCGTTCCCTCACTCCCTGTCTCTCTCTGGTGAAAATACACACTTCTAGCCAAAATTAAAAGAGAAAGAAAGATACAGTAGTGAATACGAAGTAATAAGTAACAGTGAGGGTACAGAATAATAGTTCAACTTCAGCTTCTGAGATTGTGCTAAGGGCTTTGAGAAATAGTCTGAGCCCAGAACAAAAACACTTGAAAAGAGCATCCTCTGTGAGCGCGCTGGTCATCTGAGAAGAAGAAATAGTATTCAAAAATCCCGCATTAAAAAAAAAAATCCCACATTTTAATAAAACACACTCTGGATTGGGATTAATGAGGATGTGGAACGGTGCAGTAACTTTGCCAGAGTTAGCAATGCAAAAGCCAAAAAAACTGCAAGTGTTGGAAATTGTATGCTCAATGCTTGGGGGACTGAACATTGGCCAGCCATGGAAAGGGGGCAGAAATCTGTACTGCCTATGATGACCCAGGGTCCTTAAAAGGGACTGATTTTGCGGTATCTGTGGCTATCAGCAAGAGGAAGCTCTCCATCCCTCAGTAATGAAGCAATGAATTTACAATCAACAGTAAAGACGTTAACAGACAGCAAACCACAAGATTGAGTCAATGAGAATAGCTAATAAATGGTTAGAAATAGAAATTAGAACTACATATGGAATCTTTTAAAAGAGGGCCATGAAAGACCTCAGACTGAAAATATAACAAGAGACTACATTTTTTTAAATAAATGGATTATTTAAACAGATTAGACACAGTAAAGAAAAAACAAATAAATGGAAGATAAATAAAAAATAAATGGAAGATCACTAAATAAATAAACAGAAGATAAGTAAAAGATAAAGAACAAATAAATGGAAGATAAAAATCAAAATGTGACAGAATAAAAGATGGGAAAATGTAAAGATGCTAATAAGGATACAAAGTATAAAATTAGAAAGAATAAAATATGTCTAGGCAAAATTCCAGAGAGAATAGAGAGAATGGAGCAGAAATGATAGGGAGATATTATGTTTTTTGTTTGATTTTTTTCTCCAGGATTAATGGAAATGATCAATTCCACTGAGCCAGGAAGCAAACTGAACTGCTGGCAGGATGAATACAGCGAAGTCCAAATCTAGGAACAGTACAGCAAATTTTGAAATAAAAAAAAATAAATGAAATACCTTGAAAGAATCCATGAAATGGCCAGATCACTTACAAAATTATGATAATTAGAATGGTAGTAGAGGGAGCAGCAGGTGGCACTGAACTCTCACTTCGAGTCCTGGACCCAGAAGCTTAAAACTCACACAGGGTGCTTGTGTGCGAGTGCCCAAAGTCCCGAAAGGAGGCTAGAGGAGAAGGGACTGTGGAGTGGCCCTCTGCCTGGGAGGTAATTTCTCCCTTTCTGTTTCTGTGTTTCACTCTGTCTCTCTGGTGAGCACATGTGCCCTATAGCAAAAATCTCCTCAGAAAAAAAAAGGAAAGAATGGTAGTTAATAATAGTATCCAGGAAATATGGAAGAAAATCCTCAATTTATTAAGAGAAAATAATTGTCAAATTTGAGTTGTATACTTTACAAAATTATCTCTCAAAAACAAGTAGAATAAAGAAGTTTGTAATTAAATAAATACTAAAAGCTTATTACAAAGATATCTGTACTAAAGAAACAGAATTCAGGAAGAAGTAAATTGTCTTCAAAGGATTGTTTTAGAGCACAAGGGAAAAAAAGTAATCAAGTAAAACAGGATGCATATGTGAGCATTGCATGTAAATCCAAATTAATATTATTTATATAAAGCAACTGACACAAAAATTCATTTGCAAGGTCAAAATAACAGCTTCTGAAAATTGTATCATATTTGAACAAGTAATTGTTCCATGCATGTTGTAAACATGCATTCTGTAAAAGACAAAAATGAATCACTTTACTAGTTTTTAAGTTTATTTATTTCTTGGGACCAGGAGTTAGTGTAATGGCTATGTCGCTGAATTCCCATGTAGCCAACCACAGTTTGAGTCCCTGACCTGGTGGCTTAAACTCACACCGGGTGTGTGTGCGTGCGTGCCCAAGATCCCGAGAGGAGAATGAAGGAGAAGGGATTGTGGCGTGGCCATCCTCCCTGGGGGGTGATTTCTCGCTTTCTATCTCTCTATCTCTGTCTTTCTGGCGAGACCACATGCTCTATAGCAAAAACCTCTCCAAATAAATTTTTTTTAAAAAAAAAGTTATTTATTTCTTTCAAGAGACAGAGAAAGGAGACAGAGAAACAAGCACCTGAACAGAACCTCCACACCTCATTCCATCCCTGTCTTAGGCAGCCAGGATCACAAGCACAGACTTGCCTGCTCACTCAGTCACCCCAGGATGCAAACTCAAGCCCTTCTCCACGTGGATCCTACCACACTGACCACTACACTACCACCTGAACCCCTTTACTCTTTCAACATCCAGATCCAGGCACAAACCTAACCTTTGTTAATACTCACCTTTTGGCCCATTAAGCCTTGGTTTCCAGGAAATCCTGGGATTCCCTAAAACAAATAAAAGAAAATATTAATTTACAAAATATATAGACTGCATTGTTAAAGAACAACTATTCATAACTGGAATTTTAACTTTTAAATAAGGCATAATTTCAAACGTATACCATGCATATTATGGTGTAACACTACTTATAATAATCCAATTTGAAAATTAAACTTCATGAAATTCAGCATTTACTATTTTCTAAAGTTTAAATAAAGGCTTTTAAAAAAAAGAAGCTGTGAGAAAATTCATCACAGTTCTTTTTTCAGCCTAATATACATGATGAAATAAGGATATTTCACTGGGATACATTCTTTTATTGCTTATGGTGAATCACGCAAGAAACGCTGTCTAACAACAGGAGTTCGGATTCAGTATAATAGTCCCAAAGGTTCTTATAGTCTCATGACCTTAATTAAAGTGAATAAAATGAAATTATTTTCTCTAAACTGACTCTTGAAACATCCAGGAACCTATTTGGGTAAAATATGGCAATCCTTCCTCCTAATGATTCCCCTGTGGTATAGTTACGAAGAACATACAAACCGAAATTTGTGGAATATGCAGACAATAAAGAAATACAGAGAACCCTTTTGTGGCTCAATTCAAATGTACAAGCTTTCTAGCAAGATTCTAAGAAAATAAATGTTGAAAAAATTAGTCCATTTATTAGTGGGAGCAATTACTGTTAGCCATTCAATACGTTTGCCCAAAACAGTCATTTCTCACACAGCATAGATAGTGGTGGTATTACTCAATTTTCTTTTATATTCTGTTTCTTAGCTCCATTTTTAGTGACACTTTGGTCAAAATAACTACCCAAACCTATTATGATAGATAGGCACTGATGTTGGCAGAAAAGGGAATTTGAAAAGTGGGGAATCAGGCCCCATCAGTGTGTCTTTGTCTTCAGAGCTTTCGAAGAACAGCAGTCCTCGAGTAAGTGAGGGCAGGTGGTGAGCTGATAGAGGATCTTCTACTATAGCGATCTTGAGTTATTAATGCAACTCATGGATCAATGTGATAGCCACAAGTATAGTGTAAGAAACAAGCAGACAGTTAAAATCTAAAGTTGAATCCCTGGAATTCAGTTAAGACTCTATCTAGCCCAGTTAAGTTTGCCATGTCACTACACGTCTTGCAAAGAATAAAAGTCATAGCTGAACAATGACTCTCAAGAAGGGGCTTACAATCTAATTAGACAGGCAAGTCTTTATAAACAAACTAATTAAAGAATAATATAAAAAGCAAATTAAATGATTTCCTGTTATAAAACATGAGCATAGTGTACTCAGTAAGTATTCAGACATAAAGTAGTGTAAAATCATTGTGCTATGAGTATAAGGAAAACAGAAGAAAATTAATTATATCTTTCTAATGCAGAAAATGTATATTCCCAATGCCATTCATTAAATAACATTGCTCAAAAATAAAGGTCTTCATTTCAATAGACCATGATTTGGTATGAAACCTATGATCTCCTCCTACTTGGATATACATAGGCATGTAAATTCACGATAGTTTAGATTAAATTCTGAGTTTCATTCAAATCTGTCTCTTAAGATCCCTTCAGAAGCAAGACAGCTATATACTGCTCCATGCTGGAAAGCGAAAACAGTTATGCCAATGTCACGTCCTCGGAATCTCTAAAGAGGACATCATTTATCCATGACGTGTCAGACCTGAGAAGCTGAATCTCTTACTGAAAACTCCATTTGAGTTTTCATCACTATTCAATTCTCCATGCCTTCATGTGATCTGTGCTGTTAGTAAGAACTAGTTAGAGATAGCCTGACTCTACTTCTGAGGTCTTTCCCTTGCTTTGGGGAAAAAACAGAGCTTATGCGAACAGAACCCTTGCTTCCAGCTCCCAGAAGCCTTGAGAGATCATTTCCCTGCAGTTCGCCGCCTGCATCTGACACTCTTTTATTTGAGTTATTCTACTGCTGAGTTTGGTCTAAATTAGAATATAGCCACTAATATTAGATTATTTCAACATATTATACTGGGATGTTGGAGAAGTCATGATGCATGTTTGAATAGAAAAAAAAAAGAAAAACATGTCATGACTTTTCTGACAACCCAATATGTTGAGATTATTTTTAGATGTTTCCACATTAGGAAAAAAAGATTTTTTTCATTTTGTATATCCCTTCAAATGGGTAAAATAAAAATGACTACAAATTTCATAGACATGAAAGAATTCATAGTCTATCTCCAAGTAGTTTTAAAGTTTATTTACTTCTTTCATGAGGTAGTGACAAACAGATACACAGAACCTCCAATGAGGTCTCAATATCACAGTCCATCCCCAGCTTCAGCCAGTCCCATATCAAGGACCGCACATGCCCAGCATACTCTGGAGGTCTCAGGATGCAAACCTGGAAACTTCCCATATAGATCATCTTCACAGAACATAGCATTTTACTGCTGTATCATCATCTGACTCCCTTCTATGTCCAACTATGCTAAGAATTATCAATTATTGGGACCAGCAGATGGCATAATAGTTATGTTGCTGGACTCCCATGTAGTCGACTGTGGTTCAAGTCCCAGACCTAGTGGCTTAAACTCATGCCAGGTACGTGTGTGCACATGCCCAAAATCCTGATAAAACACTGGAGGAGAAGGGAATGTGGGGTGACCATCCCCCTTGGGGGGGTGATTTCTCACTTTCTGTCTCTCTGTCTCTTTCTCTGTATCTCTGGTGAGTACGTAGGCCCTATAGCAAAAATATCTCAAAATAAAAAAAAGAATTATGAATTATTTTACAAATCCAAAATATATAAATGCTATATATTAAAAATAAAATTAAAAGCTGATTTATATAAGCAAGCATTTGTCAAACTATCATAATACTACAAGCGTACATAGACTAACGCTATTGAAAGGTAGTTTTAACCAAAAGAACTGAAATCATTCAGAGTTATATTAGTTAATAAGATTCTCCTATATAGTATTTTCCTGAGCTTTCAGTATGTGCATTGAAAATGACTATGCTTTGCCAATTTTACATTAGCCGAAATATCATTCAAAATTACTTGAAAGTTACCAGTTTGTTGTTCCAAAAGTATCTAGTGACAATTACTTCATCGAGCAAATGTTTTTCCAAGCCAACTATTTGATATTTCACTTTCAGCCTGTGTGGTTTTGGGTTTAAGCAACTGTGAAATGTGTAAGTAAAAACAGAAACAAGTATTTTATTTGGTGTGTGTAAGTGGACATATTTACTTCGCTTCTGTGATTTTAGTTTGGGTTTGAGAAAGAGCAGAAAGTTGACTGGAAAATCCTGCCTAATGTTGTGGTGAAGGAATGTTGACAAGAAAAAAATGTTCTAGAAGCTTCTCTGTAACTATTTAAACCATAGCTGTGTAACAAGTAAGTCATTAAGAATAGAAATACATACTTTGGGAGGAAGGATTCTGCTTTTGTTTCCTAGAAACTACTTTATAATGAAGGAAATGTGTTCATGATACATTACTTAAAAGAACAAAATAACACATTCTACTTTCCCACGTGCAAAGGACATATTTACCTTATCCATAAAATTACACCATCTTGGATCACATCTGCTTTTAGTATTGTAAGATTTTCAATGCACTAAAAGCAGACCTGATCCATTAATGATTTTTTTAAGAGATTTTTGCTATAGGGCGCACACGCTCACTGGAGAGACAGAGAGAGAGAGACCAAGAGACAGAAAGCAAGAAGTCACCCCCAGGGGGGATGACCACACTGCAATCCTTTCTCCTCCATTCTCCTCTGAGGATCTTGGGCATTCGCTCACACACTCCTGGCATGAGTTTTAAACCACTGGGTCCAGGACTTGAATCATAGTTAACTATGCAGGAGGCCAGCAACGTAACCATTATGCCATCTGTTGGTCCCCATTAATGATATTTTTATATCAAAATGTTCAATCTTTCCACACAGTGGCAGACGATATTCAATATCACAGATATCAAAATATTAGAAAGGTGGCATGTTCCCCTCTTTTAGATCAAGAACTGATTTGTTTATTCCTGAAGATTCAATAAGGAAAAACACAAATGGTGAAAATACCATTCTCATTAGATAAAATGATAACAATGTGATTTTTCATACAGAACACAGCAGAAGCAACTGAAAGTTTAGATGCAGGAGTTAGCAAGCCCATTTCCTGGTGGTTGATCAATTCCGAGCTACTTATTACAACTGTGAAAGCTCAGCATTTTCCTTTGCAGAAATGGAGAAAAAAACAGAACTACTCCTAGAGTTGGTAGATTCTATCAAGTACTAAGCTCAGGGCTGGCATTATAACGAATGCATTTTTATAACTGTCTTTTCACAGCTACTCCCTGACCTTTGAAAACTGTGGAATGGATGAAGTCAATTCTTTCCCACCTCTCAATATTTTGCCCTCCTTTTCCATTTTGAAGATATCTCCTTTTTGCCTTCCCACCTTGTCTTTCTCTACCCTCATTTCCAAAAGTTTCTGTTGTATATATGGAGGACTCTGGTGATCTCTAGTTTCCCAGTGTGAGGGGTGCCAACATCATTGATCCTCATATTTTATATTTTGCCTTTTTAAAAGATATATATTAGGTAACCAGCAGTTAGCATAATGGCTATGTCACTGGACTCCCATGTAGGCAATCGTGGTTTGCATCCCAGACCCGGTGGCTTAAACTCACGCCGGGTGCATGTGCGTGCGTGCCCAAGATCCCGAGAGGAGAGTGGAGGAGAAGGGATTGCGGCGTGACCATCACCCCTAGGGGGTGATTTTTCGCTTTCTGTCTCTATGTCTCTCTCTGTCTGTCTGGCGAGCACACATGCCCTATAGTGAAAACCTCTCCAAAATATATATATGTGTGTGTGTATATATATATATATATATATATACACGACAGAGAGAGAGAGAAAGCAAGCATCCAGGTCCGGGACTTGAACCACACTTGACCATGTGGGAGTCCAGCACCCTTAACCACCATGCCACCTGCTGGCCCCAACCTTCTGCCTTTTCATG